TTTCCTATTATTATTATTACGGTTACGATTATCATCTGTACGAGTATCATCAACGTCATTATTATCAGAATTATTGTTATCATTGATGTAGACTTTGTTATCGCCGAGGACATTAGCATCGGTGTTACCATAACCTTCGGTAAGGGAGTAGTCGTTATTATCATAATTATCATTGGCGTTATCATTGTCATCATTTTACCATGATATTTTTTTATAATCATATACGTCTCTATTATTGTCATTATATTGATCATATCTGTTATCTCCATATGTAATAATGTTATTGTTATTGTCTTTTGTTATTGTTATTTCTTTTGTTATTGCTATACAGCAACAATGTGGATATTGGTGAGTGTGACAATAATGGATATGCAGTTACAGACTACATCCATTAATAATACTACTACAATTTTAAAAGGTTTCAAAAGTCATCAATCTCCATCACTTTTATTACACAATTAAATAGAGACGTACAAAGACACAGATAAAAGAACATGGAAAAGAAAAAAGACGTAGAAAGAAAGGGGCTAGGGTAAGAAATCTATATAATTTGGTTTGGGTTAAGAACACTTAAAAGTACTTTACACGCTAATATATGTTGATTCGAAATCTTATCTGCGAATTGATGATGATATTCAGCTACATGTTTACATTTTATATTTTATCTTACATTGATTTTGGAATTTTTACTTAAAAGATACATTAACCGGAAGATATTCAGTGAATGTTGTCATTATTAGCATTCTAAATTAATAATACTTAAAGCAGGTGATAAAATATTGAAAATATGAGACCCGATCTCGGTTTATATTTAATTAGTATATACTAGATATGATCTAAAATGTAATGCAGCAATTCCTGTTTGTTATGTGTGTGTATGTGTTTCTATATGTGGGGGGGGATGTAATTGTGGATGAGTGTGCGCGCGCGTGTGTGTGTGTGTATGTGTTGTGTGTGTGTGTGTGTGTGTGCGTGTGCATGCGTGCGTGCGTGCGTATGTGTGTGTGTGTGTGTGTGTGTGTGTGTGTGTGCGTGCGTGTGTGTGTGTTTATGTTGTGTGTGGGGGGAAATGATTGTGTGTATGGATGAGTGTGCGGATGACGGGGGATAGGTGTGGGTTTGGGTGTGTGTGGGAGTGCGTGGATGGGTGAAGGGGCGACCTAATGAGTGGTAGATGTTAAAGACTACTGTATAATTGAGGATAGATAGATCGACAGATAATCAGAGAGAGAGAGAGAGAGGTAGGTAAACAGATAGATAAACAGACAGGTAGGCAGATAGAGAGAGAGAGAGATGAGAGAGAGAGAGAGAGAGGAGAGAGAGAGAGAGAGAGAGAGAGAGAGAGAGAGAGAGAGAGAGAGAGAGAGAGAGAGAGAGAGAGAGAGAGAGAATGAGACAGACAGAAAAAGGACTGATATACAGACATGCAGACAGACAGACAGGAAAAAAAAGAGATAGACAGACAGACAGACAAAAAAAACACGGTCACGCAGGTCCCCCGCCGCCCTTCGAGACCAGAGGCTCACTTGGCCTCCTTGCTCTGCTCGATCTGCATCTGCGTCTGTGGCTCGTCCTGGCTCTCCTGCGCGGCGAGGAAGTCCGGGAAGAAGAGCTCGACCTCGGCGTTGGCGCTGGCGGTGTCCGAGCTCAGGTGCAGCGGCCCGAACTCCTGCACGCACTCCTCCATGCCCTCGCCCGCCACCACCACCGCCAGCACGGAGGAGCTGAGGGCGTGGCGAAGGGAGAAGGTTAATACGAGAGGAAAATGAGGGGAGGAGGGTGGGGATGAGGAAGAGGGTGAGGAGAGGAGGAGAAGGAGAAAGGTGGGGATGAGGAGGAGGAATAGGAGGGTGATGATGGCGATGATGATGATAGTGGTTATAATGGTGTTGATGATGATGATGATGATGAGAAGGAGGAGGAAGAAGAAGAAGAAGAAAAGGAGGAAGAGGAGGAGGATGGTGTTGATGAAGTTCTATCATCTGAAATGGATTCAGTGTTATGGAATTTATGGTTTTGTGTCGTTTCATTTTACCCGAATATTATTACTTTTTATTTACTTATCTTTTTTTATTATTTTTTTATTTATTATCTTTTTTTTTTTTTTTTTTTTTTGCTAAATGTTATTTATCGATAACCTAGAGATATTTATGTAAATAAAACGTACTCCATTCACACAATCACTTACCACTGTATCCAAACGGACCCAACAGGAAACAGAGTAACCACAAATGAACTAAATTTGTAACTACACCAAAAACACAACACCAAAACACAATTCTACAAAAGCAAGATTCAAACAAGCCAATCAAAACCTTTTCTCCCAAACAAACATACAGACAAATGAATAGATCAATAAATAAAAAGATAAATAGATAGATAAATAGATCAATAAATAGATTAGATAAATAGACAGATAAATAGATCAATACATAGATACATAAATAATTTGATAAGTAGATAGACAGATTAGATAAATAAAAATAGATCAATAAAACGAACAGACAGAGACAAATAACCAAACAAACAATGTAAAGCAAAATGATTAAAAAAACGAAAATAAAATGAAAAAAATGATCATATAAAAAATCCCAAACACAACGGCGTTATACCCAGCAGCGGAGGCCAGTTGCTGTGACGCCGAGAGACTGGGTAGGGACTGGATGGCTTCCTGCTGGAGGGTGAGCTGCGTGTGGGCCAGCACCTGCACGCCGCTGACTCCCATGCGCTCCAGAACCTGACGGAGGCGGTGACGGAGAGGTGGGGGTTGGTTTGAGGCTAGTTATGTGGAGGTGTTTGTGATTTTTTTTTTTTTTTTTGGGGGTGGGGTAAGTTTGGGGGGTATTGTAACAATTGTGACTGTTGTTTGATATTACTTTTGTAGTTATTATAGGTGCTATTGTTATTATCACTGATATTGTCACTGTCATAACTATTTCTATTATCATTATTATTATTGCCATTATTTGTATTAGTGTTTTATCATCATTTCAATATTATTGTCATTATCATCATCATCATCATTATATCATTACTGCTACTACTACTCTTACTAAAACATTAATAATAATTATTATTATTATTATCATCATCACCTTCGTTAGTATTATAATTATTTCACTATTGTTTGTATCAATTTCATTATCATTATCATTATTTTTCTTATCATCATTAGTATCATTATTATCATCATTATCTTTTTCATTAAATTGTTATTATTATCAACATCACTGACCATTGTTTTGTTTTTTTCATTCTCTTTCATAATAAACTAACACAATCAAACCGACCTCTTGGTGATCAGCATCTGGCAACAGCAAAAGTCTCGGAACCGTAGCATCAGGAGGCGGTGGGAAGAACCTCGCTGCCAGACGTAGCTGGAGTTCGCGACTTCGAGGCAACCATGCTGGGACGACGAATTCCTCTTCGCCGAATTGTGCCACAAGCCTTTCGAGTAAGATAAGGAAGATATGTGATATTTAGAGCTTCACGGGAATTTAGCGAAAATTCCGTACAGTTTCGCGGAATTATGACGTCACGGTGTCTCGCAGGAAAACTCTTAGAGCCGTTTTTGAAAATCATTTCACGTTAACAGGAATAACATAGATCAAAATTCGTAAGATAAAAATATTGTTGATCATAAGTGTGACCACCATACTTATCAAATAAATACAAATGATTTTTTCATTTATATTCAGATATACTTCACCAACGCTGGTAGATTTTTCCTGATTATAATCAACATTGACAAAACTACTTACGAATCGGGTTCTTCCTGGCGAGCCTTCTCAAGATCAGGCGGCCCTAGAACCTGGTACCAAGCCGCCACCACGTCCCCTTCTTCTATCCTGCAACACAGAATTGATTACTTCGTCTTTTTCATATCTTGCAAGTCTATTTCGAACGAGTTTTCAGTCAGGTTACTCATGCCTGATAGAAAGAGGGAGGTAGACGGATAGATTGATCAACAGATGGAGAAAGAAGGGAGAGATGTATCGACACAGTCAGATAGACTAAGAGACACATAAGCAGAAAAATGTTTTAAAGCAATTAAAATTGAGATCAGGAGAAATGAACAGACAGGGTGAGGCAAGAGAAAGAGGAAGTGGAAGCATGTGAAGAGAACAGGAAAGGTACGAAATTAACTCACTTCAGGTAGAGCATATACAGCGGCCCATGACTAAGCTTCTCCTCCCAGTCTTCAAGGTCGTCCTCCACCACTTCTCCCTCCTTTTCATTCTCGTCGCCTTCGTTGTCTTCTTCGTCTCCCTTTTCTTCTGCTTCCTCTCCGCCTCCTTCTTTGCTCTGAGCAGGAAGTGAGATATTTAGTTTGAGAATCTTTTCAAGACGACATATAGGGAAACAAGCCATTACTCGATTTTTTTTTGTAATGTTCACTGAAAGATCCTGACAAGATAAGTAATATTTATCTGGCCTGCAATGGTAAGACACGCACGTTATAATAATGACCATAATTAGATAGAATAAGAAATGAAAATGGTCAAAAAAATGGAAAATGGAATACCTAAAAAAAAAAAAAACGTCCAAGGAATGATATCGGATCCTACCTGATTCCCACCGTCCTCCCCAGCTCCTCCTCCCCCTCCTTCTTCCTCCTTGCCCGCTTCCTCTTCCTCTTCACCCTCTTCCCCTTCCTCTTTCCCCTCCCCATCGCCCTCCTCGACGGGGGGAGGGGGAGGAAAGAGCAGGTCGTGCAGCTGTTCTCTCGTTGGCTCCTCTTGGACGTGGCCCGCGATCTCGAAGCCTGAAAGGAAGTGGGAAGGGCGTAAGAGGAAGAGGAGGAGAGAGAGAGAGACAGACAGACAGAAACAGAGATAGAGACAGACACAGACATAGACACAGAAAGAGGGAGAGAAGGAGAGAGAGAGATACAGACAGAAACAGAGAAACAGAGAGAGAGGCAGACGGACTAACTAACCGACTGACAGACCACCGGGCAAACACAAAAATAAAGGAAACAGAATGAATAAGACAGCAAACTAAGCAACACATCGACATATCAGAGCACGCCCAAAGGCCAAGCCCGCCTTCAGGACGCCCACCGCACGGACCTCACCTGCAGCCACGACGTTCGAGAGGAAGGTCTCCGTCTTTTCCTGCGAGATGATGTGAGGCAGGATGAAGAGGACGGCCTGCAGGAGCGGTTCCTCCTCCGCCTCTGAGCCCTCCTCGCTGTCTTCTGTCGCCACGCCCACCGGAGGAGGCACGCAGACACGCCCACGACGACGACAGATCGGTGGAAAAATCAAGGATGGAGTATCCGAGAAGTATTTAGGTTAGGGGATGTCTTTTTTTCCTTAGTTTTATTCTCTCTCTCTCTCTCTCGCCCATACCACCCGATCATACATCCTTCGACCCACCATCCATCCATCCATCCATCCCATCCATCCATCCACATCCATCCATCCATCCATCCATCCATCCATCCATCCATCCATCCATCCATCCATCCCCACCCACCCATAAGTCCACCTCAACCCATCCATCCATCCATCTATCCCCACCCCCATTCACTCACCCATCCATTCACCCACCCTCTCCCTACCTCCCCCCCGTTCGTTCCTTCCCTCTCTTTCCCTCCCTCCCTCTTCTTCCCTCCTCCCCTCTCCTTCCCTTCCTCCCTCTCCTTCCTCCCTCCCTCCTCCCTCCTTCCTCCCTCCTCTCCTTCCCTCCTCCCTCTCCTTCCCTCCCTCCCTTTCCTTCCCTCGTTCCCTCCACAGCCCAAAGTGACGTCGAGGAAACCACCCAAGTTCTGCATTTCGCCCTCCACGTCGTCCAAGTCCTCGTCGGGTTCTAACACTTCTTCAGGCTTCACGAGGGACTCCAGAAGGACCTGAGGATGAGTGTGGTGTGGTTTAGTGGTCGTTTCAGCATGTGAGGTTTATTTGTACACATAAATGGTGTAGGTAATTCTCTTTATTTATTTATTCATTCTTTTTCATACTTTCTTTCTCTCTATCTATCTCTCTCTCTCTCTCTGTCCCTCTCTCCTCCATACCCTCCTACACCCCTTCCCTTCCTCCTTCCCCTCCTTCCCTTTCTCTCCCTCCCTCCTTCCACCCACCTCTCTCTCTCTCTCTCTCTCTCTCTCTCTCTCTCTCTCTCTCTCTCTCCCTCCCTCTCCCTCTCCCCTCTCCTCTCCCTCTCTCCCTTCTCCTCTCCCTCTCCCTCTCCCTCTCTCCCTCTCCTCTCTCTCTCTCGTTCTCTTACCACGTCCCGCGCCCCTCCTTGGCCCTTGATGATCGAGATCTCCTTCTTCAGCAGCACCCTGATGGTGGCCAGCAGATTGGGACCGTCGGCGCCGTGGATCACTCCCAGGGGCTTCCCACACTGTTTCCGACCGAGGGAGAAATATAGGAGTAGATAGTAGATAGAGTAGTAGATAAGGGGTGGAGGAGGTGGAGTAGATATGAGTATATATCAACAGGAATGGATAGTTGATAGAAGGAATAGGAAGAGGGACTGAGGAGGTGGAGAGGGCCTAGGTAGTAGATAGTAGATGAAGGGACGCAGAAAGAGTAGTCAGAAATATAAACCAAGATAGATATTAGGTAAATGAAAGTAGAAAGGGTGGATAAGAGTAGAGAAAACAGAGAGACAGTAGACAGAGAGAGGTCACAGATAGAAAAAGCAGACAGGAATAGATAGAAATGAAAAATGAAGGGTGTGGAAGATGAGAATCATTTTCGAAGTCTAGAATAAGAAAACCATTATGAAGAAAGAGGGATGGTTTTAAGACAACCGTGTGAATTGATTTTTTTTTTCTTTTTACTGTAATTGGCAGTTCTCTTGAGCATTTAAAGGAAAATTACAGTAAGCTTTTTAAAAAATCAGAATTTCAAAAATCGCCAGTCACCTCGCTGAAAATATAATACAGGTATACAAACAACTTAATAAAAACAACTTACCCCCAGGAAAAGCCAGGTAGGTTCGGCTTTCCCTCTAAACTTCTCTAGGACACTGATGTTGTCTGCCTTGGCCTGATCAACAAAAGGTCAATTGCAAATTAATATCCCATATTTTGCTTCTTTAATTAAAGTCTTAGAGTACTTCCCAATTAACCTCTGCATTCAGTAGTTCGACAGCTTATAAAGTAATATGAATTTTACTTTTGTTTTTGAATTGTTCACCAATATAATCTATTCCAGTTGGCAAAACTGCTACTCTCGTTAAAAATTCAACAATTTAGATATTGTCATAACATAAAAGATAGTACAAGAACAACCAGAGGGGCACCCAAGAACATAGGAATGGAGGAACATATAACAGAACAAGAAAGCGGGAACAGACAAGGAGAATCAGTAAAAGACGGAGAAACACAGGAGCAGACAAGGAAAATCGGTGAAAGACGGGGAAACACAGGAACAGGACATAGATAATCAATAAAAGACGGAGAAACACAGGGACAGACAAGGAGAATCATTGAAAGACGGAGAAACACAGGAATAGACAAGGAGAATCAGCAAAAGATGGAGAAACTCAGGAACAAATAGATAATCAGTGAAAGACGGAGAAACACAGGGACAGACAAGGAGAATCAGTGAAAGACGGATAAACACAGGAACAGATAGATAATCAGTGAAAGACGGAGAAACACAGGTGCAGATAATGAGAATCAGCGAAAGACGGAGAAACTCAGGAACAAGCAGAGGAACGAGACCGGACCATGGCCAAGGTGAGGAATTCGTCTCCGAGTTCCAGCTTGATCCTCCGAAGGTGCCCCGTCATGCTGGAACATGGACCCGCCCACTCCTGGTACACGTCCACGACTGCCGGGAAGATACGCACATATCGTGGGCGTGAGGGGCGTTTTTTGTGTACATAATAATGCGCATAGACGAAAAGGCAAGTAAGGAGTCACATGTATCGTAACACAAGAAGGCAAGAAAATAAAGGCCTTTGCACTGTGACGCCAGTAGTTATCTTGTTAAACCTGATTGATATTGTGAATTAAAACATTTATGCCGTTGAATGAAATCAGTATATTAAGTTAGGTTTCATATAGTTTGGAATGAAAATAGAATGATTTGCCGACGAAAATGTCTTATGAGATAGGTAGGCTAGTGGAATACACGAAAATAACCTACGTAGAGATAATAGTCGTTATGACAGTGAGTTAAGACTAGAAGGGAATGACTACACACAAAGAGGGGAAATGGGATTGATATGACCATTATGTCAACTTACCCAAAAGGCCTGTTGCATCATATTCACTTTGTAAGGATGCCAATTATAAAAAAAAAAAAAAAAAAAAACATGGCATACTTGTTCGTGCTTGACACAATAGCAATAACAATATTTTTAAAAAATATAAATGTATTATATATATATATATATATATATATATATATATATATGTGTGTGTGTATATATGTAATATATATATCCTATATATATAATATATATAATATATAATATATATTATATATATATATATATATATGTGTGTGTGTGTGTGTGTGTGTGTGTGTGTGTGTGTGTGTGTGTGTGTGTGTGTGTGTGTGTGTGTGTGTGTGTGTTGTGTGCATGAATGTATATATAAATATATATATAATATATATATATATATATATATATATATATATATATATATATATATACATACACACACACATATATATATATATATATATGTGTGTGTGTGTGTGTGTGTGTGTGTGTGTGTGTGTGTGTGTGTGTGTGTGTGTGTGTGTGTGTGTGTATACATATATATATATATATATATATATATATATATATATATATATATATATATATATATATATATATATATATATATATATATATATATATATATATATATACATATACATATACATGTATATGCACGTGCATATATCAGCACAAACTTACCGTCTTCATAGAAAAGCGACAATTACATCATAAGGAGCAATCTAAAAATTGAATAACGAGACATCAAAAATCTTACCTAGTAGCCCCGTCCTCTTACAAGCATTTTCCCAATCCTGGTCGTTTGAAATAATAATCTGGAGCTGCTGAGCCTCGGCCTTCTTGCGCGCCATCTGTTCCAGCTGAGCGGCGGTTCGGGGAGGCTAAGCGCGCGAAATGGTAGACAGAGATCGTGTGAATAAAGACGAAATGGCGTTTGATTTATGAATAATTAAGATTATTCATGTAATCTAGTTTTGTTTAATGTGTGTTTTTAGTTTTTTGTTGTTTTTTTCTCTAATTCGTCTTTTCTCTTCTCATACATGACATCGATGTAGTCACTACAGTGGAATTAAGTGATGTTAATCGTTATTTATTTAATATCATTATTATCTCTTCCATTACGCTGGTCCTCATTGTTATTGCTATCATATCATTTTCGTTACTTATCATTATTTCATTACTGTCATTGGTTAACATAAATGATTTACCTATTCATCTGTGATCATCATTATATCAGTATTATCATTTTTATGATCATTATTATTACTACTACTACTATTATTATTAACATCATTATTTTCGTTATCACTATTATTATATTTATTATTGCTATTATCATTGCTATTATTTTTTAATTATCATCCTTATCATCATTATCATTATTATTGCCATTATTGTTATCATTATTATCATAACCATCATTATTGCTATCATTATAACTATCATTATTACTATTAATAGTAGTGGTAGTAGTAGTAGTAGTAGTAGCAGTATCATTATTATTACTGCTATTATTGGTGCCATTATCATCATCACTACTAACATCATAATCATTATTACCATCACTATCGTTATTCTTATTCTTATTATCTATATTTTCATTACTATCTTTATAATCATTTCATTATCAGTATCATTGTTTTTATTACTATTATTATTATCTTTATTATTATCATTATCATTATTATTACTATCATTATCATGATCATTATCATCATTATTATTATCACTGGCATTATTACTATAATTATTATTGTTATCATTATCACTATTACTACTACGGTCATTATTACCATTACTATTACTA